CGTTCCAGTTGGAGACCAGTCTTTACCAAAAGTGTCATGGGCTTTGAAGACACTTGAACTCAGGACAAAACGGAGAAACATGCTAAGAGGAAGGCATGCTTGGCAAATCATCACCTTGATCAACTCCCACCCAGAAACCTATGTCCCCACTGTGAAAGGATGTGTGGATCCAGAATTGGCCTCCACAGTCACTTACAGACTCTTAAACTTAAAACCATGTTTATGGAAGACAATCTTACTCGGCTATGAAGAAGAAGAAGAAGAAGTTCTTAAGGAACAGGAAAGGCTAAGGAGTAAACCCTACACAAATCTGACAAGGAGTCTGGCAACTCATGCAGCCAAGCTGGTGCCAAATGTATTATTCTGCTTTCTTTCGGACTGAGCAGCCCAGGACCTCCATATACACTGCCCAGGCTTGTGCCCAGGGGAAGTCACTTCGGTGCTGCTAATGCAACAGTTTGACTTCACTCCCAGAGGTGCACTCTGTGGTCTCTTGAGACAGACAGATGCCAACTACAGGTTCTCCTGAACAATGTGGAACGGGGTGCAGAGGTGGCCACCTGATTTTGATCAATACCTATTTTTGACCTACTTCAAATGCAGGTGGGGTATCACACATTGGAATGTCCTTCCTGTACCTCATCCCATATTGTCCAGGAGACCCTTACTCAGCCATCTGGTGCAGGGGGTGGCCAGGGAGCTGCAGGGGAGAGAGGCAGTTTGATCTCAGTTGCTTACCTTAGGAACCAGGCCATTGTAAATTATTTTTATTTATAAAGTGTTTTGAATGGGCAGACCAAAAGAGTTGAATAATTTTGAGTTCCGTGCTCCTGAATTTCAGGCTCTCTCTGATTGCTTAGTATTCTAAAGGATATATTGCATCCGATATGTTGGTACAGGATTTGATGACCATCAAACTTCCTATCCTAGAGAGTATTGGCAACATAAATAACATTCTCTGTTGTTATTTAGAATAAAAGTCTACGGTACTGGCTCCACTTACTGAAGCGCAAAGTGGCTAATGAAATGAACACCTATATATAATACTTTGCTATTGCCAGCAAAAAAATAAAATAAAATAAAATTGTGCAGCTGACCGTAATGCTTTCCTGAAAGAAAAAGCTAATATCTTTACTGCATACACTGATTTTGACTTATAAAAATATCTGCATGAACATTATTAGTGTTTTCTCTCTGGGTCTGGCCAGATCATTACTATTGTCATGAGGCGTGATTTAACATTTCAGGAAAATCAACATCTCATAAATAATTAAGACCTAATCCTCTCATGCATTAACACTCTTTCACAAAGCCCTGGAAGCATAAAGGGGGCTTCATAACCAATGCAATGTATATTTATAATGCCCGCGCAGTGCAAATTGGCATTGATTTAAATAAAGACTAAGCAATACAACTCGCTTTATATGGATGAAGAGCATCACAAGTGCTACTACATTGAATACCTGCATAGAGATTCAGCAGAAAACATATTGTTACATGCAGTGCTATTTTTCTAGAATGCCTACCCCCCCTCTCTTATAATGGCAGTGGCGCCCACTTGAGAGGTGCTGGAACTGAGTTCCGAAAAGTTCCGGCTGATAAAAAGCCCTCGTTGAATGCCAGCCCAATCTCCACAGCACTGCGAATCTCCAGGGTTGCAGATGCTTAACCAGGGTTTGTGTTTTCTTTTGGGAATAAGGTACAGTGGAAACTGTGGTTACAGTGAAAACCATGATATATGGTTTTATTTGCACATATATTCACCTGAACCTAGATGGAGAGAGTTCTGATCACGGAGGAGGGCAAATGTTGTCCCTATTTTCAAAAAGAGGAAAAGAGAGGACCCAAATAATTACCGCCCAGTCAGTCTGACATCAATACCAGGGAAGATTCTGGAGCAGATCATTAAGCAAACAGTCTGTAAGCACCTAGAAAGGAATGCTGTGATCACCAATAGTCAGCATGGATTTCTGAAAAATAAGTCATATCAGATTAACCTGATCTCGTTTTTTGACAGAATTACAAGCCTGGTAGATGAAGGGAACGCAGTGGATGTAGCCTACCTTGATTTCAGCAAGGCATTTGACAAGGTGCCCCATGATATTCTTGTAAAGAAGCTGGTAAAATGCGGTCTTGACTATGCTACCACTCAGTGGATTTGTAACTGGCTGACTGACCGAACCCAAAGGGTGCTCATCAATGGTTCCTCTTCATCCTGGAGAAGAGTGACTAGTGGGTGCCACAGGGTTCTGTGTTGGGCCGTGTCTTTTTCAAAATCTTTATCAACGACTTGGATGATGGACTCAAGGGCATCCTGATCAAATTTGCAGATGACACCAAACTGGGAGGGGTGGCTAACACCCCAGAGGACAGGATCACACTTCAAAATGACCTTGACAGATTAGAGAACTGGGCCAAAACAAACAAGATGAATTTTAACATGAGAAATGTAAAGTATTGCACTTGGGCAAAAAAAAATGAGAGGCACAAATACAAGATGGGTGACACCTGGCTTGAGAGCAGTACATGTGAAAAGGATCTAGGAGTCCTGGTTGACCACAAACTTGACATGAGCCAACAGTGTGACGCGGCAGCTAAAAAAGCCAATGCAATTCTGGGCTGCATCAATAGGAGTATAGCATCTAGATCAAGGCCCTTGTGGTCTCTTCCAACTCTATGATTCTATGATTCTATGATTCATACACATTCCAGGAGCGTCTGGCCTGTTTATTACAGCTTGTCCCAGCCAGCCCACATGGTGTTCTGGCCTATCTTTCTCTGCTTGCCAAACCACTTGCAGAACTGACACTTTCTTCCTGTTTGCTTACATCATCCACCCTGAAATCCTAACCCTTTTGGTCTCTGTCCACCAACACACAGCTGGAGGCGGGGGCCCTCCTCTCTTTTTCTGGCAGTCTTCACACTTTCATGATGGGCCATCACAGGTCTTTGTCCCTTGATGGCAGTGTTAGAATTTTTTGTATATATTCTGGGCACCAAATGGCTTCTTAAACCAGGGCCATAGTCACAGTCACCAACATGGAATGCCTAGTTGTCATTTTGGGGCCAGATGGCTTGAAAGTCTTATTTTTTCAATGTGACTTTTTGGTTCCTGAAATTCATTCTGATTTTTCAGATAAAATACGGTGGTATCTCGGTTTTCGAACGTAATCCGTTCCGGAAGACCATTTGAGTTCTGAAACGTTTGAAAACCGAAAACTCAGCAGCCGACAGCTAGGCCTCAGGATCTTGCACTCAGTGAAAGCCGCATGGCATGTTTGACTTCCAAGGCGTGTTCAAAAACCGAAGCATTTACTTCCGGGTTTACGGTGTTTGAAAATCAAAATGTTCATCAGTGGAGACATTCGAAAACCTAGGTACCACTGTATAATGGAAAGAACTCTACAGGGTCTGTTGCTGGTGTGTGAAAACAGTCAAGATCCAAGGATCCCCAGGCATGCACCTCCAGATGGTGGCGATGTCAGATGCCATCCTGGCACCCAGGCATCTTCACTTGTTCACAAGTGGCCAATAGCTAGGTGCAAAATGTGCCTGGCGCCTGTCAAATTTTGATCGCTGCCTAATGGCCTGCACTTGGCTGGCCCTGCCAGGCTAGTCTGGTCCATTAAAGGTAAAGGTAAAGGGGCCCCTGACCATTAGGTCCCGTTGCAGACGACTTTGGGGTTGCGGCCCTCATCTCGCTTTATTGGCCGAGGGAGCCGGCTTACAGCTTCCGGCTCATGTAGCCAGCATAACTAAGTCGCTTCTGGCGAACCAGAGCAGCGCACGGAAACACCGTTTACCTTCCCGCTGGAGCGGTACCTATTTATCTACTTGCACTTTGACGTGCTTTCAAACTACTAGGTTGGCAGGAGCAGGGACTGAGCAATGGGAGATTCGCGGGGATTCGAACCGCCGACCTTCTGATCGGCAAGTCCTAGGCTCTGTGGTTTAACCCACAGCACCACCCGCGTCCCAGTCTGGTGCGTTAGCATAAACTAAATCAATGAATTTTTGTGGATGGCACCGTTTAGCCAAAAGTTTGATTAATTCCAACTTTTACTAATTATAAGAATTATGGGTGCCCTGCATCCACAAAACTCTGGCACCCCAACACATAACAGTATTTAGCAGTCTTCATATCTATTTCAAAATAAATTGTTACCCAGTTTCATAATTAGAGAATGACAGATGGCTGTGACTTCACTTTAAAATAATGCATCCATGTATATACTGTACCGAAGCTCACTTAAAAAAACCTTTTTTGGGGGGGGAACCTCCATAATTGCATAAATAAAAAATACCTACCAGAAAAAAAGAAAGAAAACCAACCCACATTTGTTCAACTTTATAGAAGGGTAAAAGTTGTCCTTGACATAATAATTAAAATTCTGGAATCACGTTGTCCTTCCTTCCTTTCAATTCAGGATGAAAATCCATAAGTCCAGCTGAAATGCCCATCTACTCAGGGTTAGAAAATGGGGGATGATGTGTAGGGGCATCATAAAAAGCAAACAAACGAGGGCCCATAATGGTAAACACCCTTCTTCAATTCCTTTCATGTATGTTTGAGTACCCTGCTTTTTTGTTTTGTTTCCTTTAAAAATGGACCTGCAGTTGCATGAATTGCTCCTGCTTCTGAATAATCATTTCTAATTTAAATAATCGTGTCCTGGGTCCTGTTAATCTCGATCCAGCAATTTGCTAGAAAATCAGTTGTCATTGAGACTGTTTTGATTCCTGATGCTCAGAAGACAATGTGCTTTGTTATTGGTTGTGAGCTTCACAATGAAGAGAGTCGCATGGAGTGAACTACAGCTTTTCTGTTTCAGATTGTGGCAAGGTTATCTCGTTTTTTAAATATTCCCTTCATTTATTCATGCATGTGGGTGGGGGTGGGGAGTAGGTTGTTGAGAAGTGCATGGAAGAGATTTGTGGTCTGCCTGCAGTCAAAACAGGCAACTTTAATAATCATGCTCTTCAGAGAACCCCACCACCATCACTTTAATTTTAACTTGATATTAGGCCTTGTCTCAATTTGAGCTTTTAGAGTCAGACCCGAAAGAAATGGCTAAAGAACAACCCTGTTCTGAGTCACCAACCCAAGCAGCCAAAAATACTGTAGTAATCTTCCTAACTTCAAGTGCTCTTATTCCCAAATATTACTCGTTTAAATAACAAAAATAAAGACTATCTCAAGGAAAGGAGATAATCAGCTTGCTATCATGGTCATTTGTTGCGGAGGGTGAGGAGAGTTGTATTTTGCAAGGTTATCTGAAGATTTTTAGAAAAATGGAATAAAACATTGCATTGTATTCTGTAGCTTTATGCTTTGCTTGAAGGAAAGTCACAGAAAGTCTAAAATCCTGCTCATATCCTCTCACATGATGGGTCCATTTCTTATAGCCCTGAGTGTTTTAGAAAATAGTTGGGTTACTGCTTTCTCAGTAAGGAACCCATGTCACTCAGAGCATATATTAAAGGCGCTTTTTCTAAATTCTGGGCATTTTAAAAACCATTTCCTAATAATCTCCATTGTGTGATTTGCATTTCACATTGCTACCATACACTTGGTGGCACTGTGGGCAAAAGATTCCTGCATTACAGGGGTTTGGACTAGATGAATCTTGGCGTCCCTTCCAACACTACAATTCTACGAGCCTTGAGCATTTTTCTCTGAGTAATTCATGGCACACCCAAGGTACTACCAGTAACTGCCGGCTCAGACCCCATCAGAGTTTGTTTGACCTAAGAGTTTTTCAAACCCAGTGTTTTCTCAAGTGTTTTACCATCTGAAGCTAGCGCAATGAATAGTATTAGGATTTAATCCCTCTCCTGATAAATTAGGTGCCCGCTAATAGTGAATAGCATCAGTTCCCATGCCTAAATTAAGAGAACAAAATCTTACCTAATGAAACACTGCAATCACTTGCAGCTATCTTCTTTTTGAAGTGCTGTATCCCTTGCTGCCAGTTTTTATAGTGAGGTGACATGCGAGGATGGCGCACAGGGAGGAAGCATTTAGAAGACAACAGATCAATAGTTGAAGACAAAAGGTAATCAAAGAGTCTTACAAGGCTGTCAATACTGTAGCTTGTTACCTGGGCAGTATCTCCCCTTAGAGATCTCTTGCTTATTTAACTTCTTTATTAAAGCAATGCCAAAGAAAACAAAGGGATGTAGCCCAAGAGCAGAAAGAAAATAATTGTTATTATAAATAATAGTGGATTTATATACATTCTATTTAGGGATATTGCTTGTGAGGGTAACTTGCCGTATCTCTTATAGTAACAACAAAAGCATTCCCCATCTGTCCTCAGTATATCTTCACAATAGGCTTCACAAATTCATTCTAAAGAAGAAAAAGGTTTGGGCAGAAAATGAGGGCTTTGTGGCGTTACAATTGTAAGCTTTGCAACAAAACACTTTGAGTTGATGTATCCAGGTTAGATATTCCGTACTCATGTTGCACAAAGTCTTTTCTGTTAAACTCCTGCTACTCTACAAACAGTGTGAATCATGCTTTTCTTATCAAGTAGCTTATAAAAAAATGGTGCAGGTTTAGATTGGGTTGAAACCTTGAAACTCTGCTAAATGGAAGCTCAGACCAGTTTATATACAAGTTGGTTTTCAGAAAGTACCCTACCTAGGATATGCTGTGCAGTGATATAGATATTTAAGCTACTTTGCAGTATGATCCTCACAATCTAATTGAGCTGTTACAAAATTTGTTCCCTTGTATGATACCCAAATGGTTGGATTTCTAATTTCCCAGCCAATCACAGTATAAGGAACCCTTGGTGGACACTGATTTTTAATTGCACTTTAATAATAAACAAACTTGATACCTTGCTTAATGCAACTACAGTGGTACCTTGGGTTACATAGGCTTTGGGTTACATACGCTTCAGGTTACAGACTCCGCTAACCCAGAAATAGTACCTCGGGTTAAGAACTTTGCTTCAGGATGAGAACAGAAATCGTGCTCCGGCGGTGCAGCGGCAGCGGGAGGCCCCCTTAGCTAAAGTGCTGCTTCAGGTTAAGAACAGTTTCAGGTTAAGAACAGACCTCCGGAACAAATTAAGTTCTTAACCTGAGGTACCGCTGTATATTGTTCTATATGATGAAATCCTATAGGGTGGCATAAAACAAAGAGCTGTATTCTGGATACTAACTTTTTACCAATACATTTCAAAATTTTCTTCACGAAATATACTTACTTGCTCTTAATCCATATGGTTAACAACAACAACAAAAAAAGAAGCCTCACAGGTGGGAGGGTGGTCTACATCAAAATTTTGGTTCCAGGTGCCATATTGATTCAAGATGGAGGACCAAAATGTGACTGTGGTGTCACTGTACCTGTTTTTTGGCATAGGTTTGGCTGGCTCTTGAGATATTGTCAGGAAATTTGACATGAGAGTTCCAAAGGTGGGGGAAATAGACTTCATTGGTATTTGGACACTAGGTGTCGATTTAATAAATATGGTGGACCATAATGTGACTTTGTTGTGACATCACCTGATTTTTGGCAGAATGCATCCAAACTCACAAATTACACTATCCAGTTAAATATCACAATATTTTTTGTTTTCTAAAAAATCCTGGCAGCAGTGGGTACTCCTTATTAGCTAGTGGCTAATAAGAGAAAGCCGAAATTTTTCAAATGCAAGTGTTGTGTGTGTTCTCTATAAGGGGCCTCAAACTGAATTATGTAGCAGTATTTCAAATGTTTCTGGGGATGTGTTTCATTTTATCTTGTGTGCTATAAAACGGTTTGGAAAACAAATTTGAGTAGCCTGATGCAGCCCTTTTCCAATTAAAAAAGAAACCAGTTAGCTGTTCCTAATCAGTCAAAAACCCTTGTAAGTAAGATATCATAGTCCAAGTGTATGTTTCTAACTGAGGGTAGTATCTGCCATTTTTAGATGTTTCTTGTAATGTAGCTTTTTTGTATGGAAAAGTTCTTTATTTGCCACCATGTTCCTTCAGTGCAACCAGGTGGCACTCTCCGTTGGATGCACCTTTTAAATATTAATTGTCTATATTATATCATCTGCTGCTTTATAAAATTACAGAGGAAGCATGGTAGGAAGGCGTCTGAATAACATTAAGCAGACATAACAATATTACTGCCTAGGCAACTGATGCTTGATCAAAGTGAAGCTATTTATCAAATAGAAATGAAATTTACGATCTCCACATTAAGACCTTATATATATATATTGCAAATTTCTGTTAACTTGTGAGGAGTAGTTTATATATAGTCTCCATAACAGATTTAAAATACTTTTGTTTTGTTTTTTAATAGTAGCTGCACAGTCTATGCATGTTGTCTTGGAAGTAAATCCCACTGTGTTCAGTGCAGCTTACTTCTAAGTAAGGGTGTTTAGGATTGCAAATTAAAACCTGCTGGAGAATACACCAACATTTCAGAATTTGGATCTCCTTGGAAATCTGTTTATCTTTTTTCCACAGCTGATGTGCTAGGGAAGAAGAGCAATTTTGTTTTCTCCCAAGTGGTTTAGATTTGATTTGAACTCGCAGCAGAGTTTAAGCTGATGAATAGCTTTTTATTGAACATGAATAAATTGAGAAATTCAGATTAGTCAGCCACTTTTTCCTCATAATTTATATTATGAAAAAGATGTATGTGGCGAAAAATAGAACACAAAGGTATGCACATTTGATGACTTGTGCTGGATGACTTGCTAAATTAATAGAATAATTAATGAATTTTGATGCTGTTACAAGCGTTTTCCTTTTCCTTTTACATTATTCTTATGAAGGTGGGGGGAGCAGGGGCGGAAAACACAGCTCATGGAAACAGGGTCAGTCACCATGAAAGACAACAGGACACTGGGCAGCCACTTGCAAACACACTGACTGATATCCAACATTAGTCATACTCAGAGCAAACCCATTGAAATTAATGTACTTGTACTTTGCTTCCAACGAGTGTACTCTGTATGAATAACACTGGACATCATATTGGGAAACAAAGACTCATTGCCAGTTCACCCTGGAAGAAGACTCATCAAACAAACAAATGGTAAAAATGTCATATTCGTTCCAACATTAGAAGATCGGTCAAACAATTCTGTAAGTGTGGGCAGATGGGTTTGAATTAATGTATATGAGGGAAGCCTTGGGTATATGAACCACGCATGGGCATCCAGGCCAAGCATTCACTGGTGTGCATACCAGACGTAACAAGCATCTCCCATGATCTCCCAAGCCAAAAGTTGTGGAAGGTGACTTAACAGTGTCCTTTAAAAGGGAAAGAAAAAAAAGAGTGACATTAACCTTATAATGCCTCGGGGCGTGGGGGGGGGCATCAATTAAGCTTTTCTTTTTAATTTTTTTTATTGTATTGAAATGAACCCAAATACAAAGAGTGTTCAAAACGAAAGTAGTTCAAGTAAAGGAGCAAAAGCAAAACAGAAGGATCAATACAAAGTGTTTCACCATGAGACCAGGTAGAAAAGACTAACATTTCATTTGATAAAAGGAAATCCAGGTATGGGGGGTAGGTTATCTTGTACAAAAAATAGTTCAGGTGGAACTATTAAACCAAAGACAAGAAGGAGCATTGTATTCTAGTCATAAACCTCTCCAAATAAAACCGTAATTTGACAGAATGTGCCAGCCATGCGGTTTTCTGGTCATATAAGCCATGAAGTGCTATCAAATGGCAGCAACGTCTTAGCATCAACCCCAGTAATTCACAAATGATGGGTTAATTTATCAGAAATGGTGATGAATAAAGCCTTTTTGAACCAACTGTCCAAAGTAAAGTTGGAAGTACCTTTCCAGCTTTGAGATATAGCCAAACAGGCAGCTATCAAGAAGTAAACAGTGAGTTGTTTACAAACATTGACAATAAGCATAACTTTGGATCTATTGACACCTCGCAGCCTAACATCAGGCCTATATCTCTTATAATCACTTTGCAAAAATTATGTACATAAGAACAACCCCACTGACTTAATGTCATCAGTCATGAACCACTTTCCAAGAGTTTTCTCTAATGTGGGCCAAAACAGATGCAAAAAGCTCTGAATTTTCCCTTTGTGCAAGTTCTGCCTTCCTCATAGCAATAGTCACAACTTTCGAGGATTAGGCATTGGGCGGAATCCTTAATCTACTTTCTATCTTGCAGCAGTGGGATCACAGGTACCCTGTTAGAGGTGCCTAGTAGGAAGTCTCTGTCCAGAAAGCCAGAGTGACCAGCAGATGGGTCATAGAGCCATAGAGCTTCCTCCAGTGGCATGGGAGGGCCACCCATGTAGAACTGCATCTTGTGATGGACCCGGCATCCCAGAATTGACCCTGTAATGCCTCAGTCCTCCAACACGGGGCCAAGAGGGATACACGCCCAATGACTATGCCAAAGTCTACCTACGTCTGAAATCAACAAAGTTGTGGCCAGTTTATGTTGTCGTGGCCAGTTTCTTCAACATTGTGAGTGGACTGCAACAAGAAAGGTGTTCAGAATGAAGCTGTTGGAATGCAAAAAAAGAGGCAAGTGTATTGCAAGCAGAAAGAGTAACAGAATGCCAACAGGCCAGTGAGCGTGTTTGGATCAGCTATAACCACCCAATGCAGAAAATCCAAGCTTCAAAGAAACCCAAAACATAGCAATATTAAGTAGTAAGTTAGCTTTCAATGATAGCATGCAACCTGGGTTGAGCCCCCTGACTCCTTACCTCCCCAGCCAGAAACATCCCCTATGGGAATGGTGGTGGGATTGGGCTAAAATTCTTCCCTTTAATACTTAATGTATGCTTGCCGACAAAGGTCCGTATAGTTAAAGCTATGGTTTCCCCAGTAGTGATGTACGGAAGTGAGAGCTGGACCATAAAGGAGGCTGATTGCCAAAGAATTGATGCTTTTGAATTATGGTGCTGGAGGAGACTCTTGAGAGTCCCATAGACTGCAAGAAGATCAAACCTATCCATTCTGAAGGAAATCAGCCCTGAGTGCTCACTGGAAGGACAGATCCTGAAGCTGAGGTTCCGATACTTTGGCCACCTCATGAGAAGAGAAGACTCCCTGGAAAAGACCCTGATGTTGGGAAAGATTGAGGACACAAGGAGAAGGGGACGACAGAGGACGAGATGGTTGGACAGTGTACTCGAAGCTACAAACATGAGTTTGACCAAACTGTGGGAGGCAGTGGAAGACAGGAGTGCCTGGCGTGCTTTGGTCCATGGGGTCACGAAGAGTTGGACACGACTAAACAACAACAACAACATGCTTGCACTACAATGGAGGAAGGGAGAAAGATGCAAGGAAGGAACAAGCTCTTTCCTATCCTGGAAAAAGGTACATAAGAGAAAGCCTCAGTCTTGGGAAATAGGTATTTATGCATGGACTCCTGGAAAGACAAGGTCCCTTAGAGCAGGCAGGCAGTGGGCATTTTTTTGTAGCAAGGCTGTGCCCAGCTGAAGCCTCTAGAGAAACCAAGATCAGCAAGGCAGGCCATGACACATGCTCAAAGTCTTCTTATCTTAACAGAGCAAATACACACAGCTCTCTCTTCTCTGCCTGCAAATGATAAAGTGATGGAGGAGTGGAAGCAGACTTAAATAGCAGCTTTATCACCCCCTCCTATTGGGGACTCCTGCCCTGTGATCCACAAGACCCCATCTCCAGTGGAGAGACCAATGCACATCTTATTTCAAGAAGATGGCATATTCACCCATGCTAAAGAGCAGGAGTGGCATTCTTTGCAATATAAGTGTAATGGACAACTTGCTTTTCAGACAAAAGTTAAATAAGGTTGCATGCTTTTTATTGCTGGAATGCAGTGTAATTTTCAAGGTGGTCTGGGTTTTAGATGTAGGCTAACTCAGCTGAATAAGTGGCCAATTCCCACAGTTGCGATTAGAAAGGTTTGCCTTGACCTCAGAATGAAGAGGGTCTAAAAAAAAAGTTCCATCAGCATTGATTTACTGAGGATTTCTTACATACCACAAATCTGGCACATCATTAAACTGAAGGAATTAATATTAAATTTATTGATCTAAAAGAAGAGATAATGAAGAGGATACAGTGATACATCAATAAATAATGACCTAACAGGAAAATGTTCTAAATAACTAAAAGACAGATCACTGGATACAATCCCGGTATTATAAATTTAGGATACTTTTTTGCCAATAAGCACAAAGGAGATATTAGCGTCTGGTGTCCAGTAAATTATTGCCTTAATTAAAAAGCATAAAAATTGAATAGCAGTGCAGCTGAATTTGATTGTTTCAATAATATTGAGCAAACCTGCACAACGATGTGAGCATTTTCTTTCCTTTTGTACCTTTGGTTTATGAAACGAATGCTATTTCTTTCTCTAAAAAAAATAACATTTTTCTAGGATGTGGAGAATGCTCAGCATGAGATTAAAATAACTATATAAAAAGAATCAGAGCAGCTTGGTGAACCCAAGAGAAAAATGCATCCCTACAACAAGCTTGCCATCTGTTGTCTGCTTGTTTAATGAATTTATAAATGCTGGTGGTTGCTGATTATTTAGTAATTGCTAATAAAAAAATAAAAAATATAATTGAAAAACAAGAGCATTTGTATATTCAGTTTTAGTTTTAATCTTTTGGCAAAGTTATATTGCAGCTCACTTTTTGGATACAAGCCTTCCCTTCCTATTAACTTATGTCCTGGGCTCCCCCCGACATTTAATTTAAAGTCATTTGCACATTAAATAGAAGAAAGGCTCTGCCATGCCTAAGATTTGATGAATCTGAAGGCAGGCTACTTATTAGTATTTCAGCATAGCATGATGTATCCTCCAGATTCCCTTGTGAAAGCTAAGTGAAACATCTTGTTTGGGAAACTTCTTACAAGTGGCTCACATGAGACCTTTGGGTATAGGGCAGTATAGAAAATAAATAAATAAATAAATAAATAAATAAACAAATAAATAATAAATAAATGTAGCTCAAAATTCATGGTGCAAAATGGTGACACCATTGTGTTCTCTTAGAATTACTTTTATGAAAGTTATATGTCAATGTCAATAAGCTGTGGGATATTTCTGGAGCAATGCACAGCTGCATTAAACCAGACATTTATTAGATTTTGGTTGGGCCAGTATCAGTAAATGTTTGAAATGCCTTTAGTTTAGTGAAATAGCTAGGTTTTCTAGATTCCGGGGTGCTCTTCCAGAAACTCCAACATTCCCAGCAGAACAGCAAAGCAACTGTTTTCCTGTTCTATTAATTAAAACTGCATAACTGTGCATTACCACTGTGTCCAACATATTCATTTATATAACCATTTTAACATGCCAAATACTTCATTTCCTTATTTGTATTGCCAATTAATTCATGTTCATATTGCATAGATTTGAAACTGGAACTAAGAAGCATTCACTTCTCTTAGGTCATCAATTGAATTCAAAGTTAAGCTGTGATTTGACCCTTTTTCTCTCACAGGTCCAAGTCAAACAGCGGTGCCCCAGTCCTGTTAATGTTGTGAGTGATGGAGAGGTCCTATTAGGTTACTTCATAATTTTCTGTCAGACTAATCCAGAGTTTTCTGGTTTGACATCTATGTACCCTAGACCAAACAGACTGTGGGTTTATGCTTCTGTTTTCGTTCCCTACCTCAGATGGAGCACATTAAAAATAAAGCTTACAAAATTATTATCAGCATATCTATGTACTATATAATACTGTAGAAGGTTGAGATGATTTACGCTATGTTGAAAAATACTAAAGGTGTACAGTGGTACCTCAGGTTAAGAACTTGATTCATTCCGGAGGTCCGTACTTAACCTGAAACTGTTCTTAACCTGAAGCAGCACTTTAGCTAAGGGGGCCTCCCGCTGCCGCTGCACCGCCGGAGCACGATTTCTGTTCTCATCCTGAAGCAAAGTTCTTAACCCGAGGTACTATTTCTGGGTTAGCGGAGTCTGTAACCTGAAGCGTATGTAACCTGAAGCATATGTAACCTGAGGTACCACTGTATATCTGATAGGAGCAAATATCTTTGAACCTTCATGACTCTGTAACCTGAAGAACTGCCTCTGGTGAGAACCACTCACAACGTAATGACTACATAAAAGCTTGGCTGTGTACAACCCACTGTGATTAACTCTAGATCCCTGCAACATGACACACAATTGCTTGTTTCCAAAAGCCCTGATGTGCAAATGGAAGTGACTAGCCCCCACGATCTCCCTCTTTCATGGCTCCTGCAAATTGCCTCCAGGGAACCTCCCC